AAAAAAAAAAAAGAGTTAAAAAAAATGGCATTCGCGAGCATTACATTTAAATACATTTTGTTTTATAACATTTTTATGCGGCCGGAAACAAAACAAAAAATAATAATAATCTGCTGTGAATGGAAGTTTGCCAATTTTTGTTTGGGAAGTTTGCTATTTGTGGGACAGCAGACGTGTTTTGTACAATTGTTGATGAATTTACATAGAAAAAAAAAAAGAGTTAAAAAAAAATGGCATTCGCGAGCATTACATTTAAATACATTTTGTTTTATAACATTTTTATGCGGCCGGAAGCAAAACAAAAAATAATAATAATCTGCTGTGAATGGAAGTTTGCCAATTTTTGTTTGGGAAGTTTGCTATTTGTGAGACAGCAGACGTGTTTTGTACAATTGTTGATGAATTTACATAGGAAAAAAAAAAAGAGTTAAAAAAAATGGCGTTCGCGAGCGAAAGTTTAAGTAATGCAGACGATTTTTCAGATTATGAAGATGTGAACATATTCAAAGACAAATACTTAACTTTTTTCATTTGCCCGAGATCATTTGGGATAGTAAAGTTTTACACATAAAAAAAAAATTACAATTTTAACTTGTGTATTGTTTTAGTTTCTTGTATTTATTAATAAAATAAAAATTTGCATTTTTTTCTCCAAAAAAATTGGTAAGGGAAGCAGTTTATAAAATAACTGCCACTTCAGCTTAAACAGACTTTATATACATGTATTTGTGTCACTTTTGTTAGATGATGGAACATACCTTGCCAACAAGATGGTCAGTGACAACCTCTCTTAGACCAGTATATAATCTTTCACCATGTTTATGCAATACCATAGTGTAGGCATTACGATACAGCTCTTCAAAGCTCAAGCCACTGTTGTTTTTTTTCTGAATTTCCTGAATGGCATTTTTAAGGAGGGACCAGATGTTCTGCACATACTTTTCATCCATAGTCATCTATAAAATTAAAAGAACCAGGATTTAAAAAAACCAACATTTATATTTTTAGAAAATATATAAATCCTAAATTACATTTTTATAAACCGGAGGAGGTTTTTGTTTTAAATCTCAATTTGAACTTCACTTTAAAAAACATTATTAGAGTCAAATCCCAGTATGGTGAAACTTCAACGAACCGAAATTTCGATTCACTATAACCAGGAGTTCACAATATCCCTACACCGCACTTTAAACAACTTTTTAATCAAACTGTTCCCTTTTACTACGCATTTAAATAAATGGCCAATAAAAAGAAATACATAAATGATTAAAAAACAATATGTAGTAAAAAAATGTGTTAACTTTTATTTTTATAACTCTTCGTCATTCGTACAAAAAATTCAGGGATGTCCCTTATTTAGGGAAGGGACACTGAAATAGTAGAAGCAAACAAGAAAAAATACTTATGATGGCTACATTCCACTCAATAAATGATTTTAAAAATCAGTATATGTATTTTATGTTAAAATTTTAAAATTAGCAAAAAATGAAGAAAAAAAAAGTTTATAATATCCAATTTTCTCTCTTCTTTTGGTTCCCTATATCCACAAAAAATAATATTATATGTGTATAGTAAGGCACGGGAGCCAACGTTTCGTTCACTATATCCGGGTGTTCAGTATAAATCATGTTCACTATAGCAAGGTTTGACTATATTAGCCCCGACCCAAGGTTTAAAATAAGTGGTCGTTAGTCGTAATTTGTATCCAAAAAAATTATATTTGACGGCCAGAAAATCGCACCCAGTAGTCATTTCTGCCGCTTAAATTTATTATTCTGACGCTAATATATAAATTGACGCTTAAATTATTTCTGACGCTAAATACCTTTGCACTCCCAATTCAACTCTCTTGGCCGAGTTATAAGACAGACTGGAAGTAACAGATATGACATCATATGCTTCAAATATCAAGGAGTCTATTGGGATTACGAACTCTAAATCGTCTAGAGTGTTTAGAAGCTGCATCAAAAAAAGGGAAATTCTATGTCTGATAGTGGTTTGTTTAGAATCCCAAAAAGAAGTTAAAAGATTCAAATTCGAGTTTTTTATGAAGTGTTCCATTTCTGACAATTCCATAGTAATTTCATATCGTTTAATGATAGTTTTTATAGAAGATGTATAGAAAACTGATAGTTTATTCACCTTTTTTTTTTTACCCTTTTCACACAGTTTTTCAAAATCCTATATTTGTATACGCTATATATTATGTTTAATACATAGATATTTCAATGCATTTTTATGGCATACGAATTTTAGGATTTAGATCACTCGTCATTACACTCGCAACAATTCCATCAGTTTCCTAACGTGTTTTGGTCATTTCCGCTCACAAGGTGTGTAGCCAAATCTTTCAACAAAAAATAAGCATCTTTTAAGTACTTTAAAAGCACTCAAAAAATATTTTTAAGCACTATATAACGTAACAAAATGCAAGATATTTTTCCAAGACTTTACATGATCATGATAAAATAACTAATTTCTGACAAAGAACTCTTTCCTTGATTATATTAGCAACTATAAAAAGATCTAGAGATTTTTTGGTTTGATATCAAAGGGCTGAAAATAAAGTCTGAAATTGAGAATATCTAGCAAAATGAAGTAGAGTTGCACATGAGAGTGTAACAATCTCACCGAACGCAGCTCAGTAGAAGGACTCACAAGTATTCCGGCTCAGTAGAAGGACTAGCATTATGCAAAACCATGTATTGTGCAAAAGTACGCTTTTGCACAATACGTGGTGAAATCGACATGGGAAAGAAAAAAATCTCACTTTTGAAAAGAGAAGACTAAGAACTTTTTTAAAACATCCAATGATAAAGCACCTTTAAGGGCTCTTAAAGATCGAAAATGAAAAATAAGCATAATTAAGCACTTTTTAAAAATGGCACGCACCCTGACTCTTTTTATTCATTCCCATTGCCTTGACACCATGTTATTACAACAATTGTGTACTTTGAATTTAAGGAATCACTTCTTTAAACAATTAATTTACACCAAGTAAGTCCACACCGTTTAAGGATTTTTTTAATTTTTTTTTTTTTTTAAAGCAACTATTTGTCATTTCTCGGCTATTTCTACTGTTATTTTTTTCTTTTCAATTTGATATTTTTATTATATTATGTCTAGCAAATTTGTATTTTAGTAATCACTTTCTTATGTGGCCGATAAGTGACAAGTATTCTAAGCAACTTTGTGAGCAACTATTTCAGGTCTGCTAGAAAAAACACATATTTAAAATTAGTAACAGAACAAGTATGATGAAATAAAATCTATAAATGCAAATAACTTTTAAAAAATTCATTATTTATTTACTTTAAATACATGAAATTGGGATTACTAGATCGTATTAGAAAAGTTTTTCTTTTTTTTCCCAAATATCTTTTATAACTTTTTTTTTAATTTAATGATATGAATAATAAGGTAAGGGTAAATAATATTTTTATTATTTCACGCAATATAGTTTATAAGCTTTTATTTCTACAGAAAACTTAATCAAAAATGTACCTTTTTTATTTGAGAAATGTGTGATTAAACAAGCTAGTAAAAGATTATGTATAATCGCTTTTCAATACTAAAACTATAAAACAACATTTTTGTAATAATTATGTCAGGCAATATAGTTTATAAGCTATTATTCATACAGAAAACTTAATCAATAATGTGCCTTTCTTATTTGAGAAATGTGGCATTAAACAAGCTAGTAAAAGATTATGTACAATCATTTTTCAATACTAAAACTATAAAACAATATTTTTTGTTATAATTATGTCAGGCAATATAATTTATAAGCTATTATTCATACAAAAAACGTAATCAATAATGTACCTTTTTTATTTGAGAAATGTGGGATTAAACATGCTAGTAAAAGATTATGTATAATCACTTTTCAATACTAAAACTATGAAACAATATTTTTTGTTATAATTATGTACATTGAGTTAAAAATACACAAGGATTGATATAAACTATTAAAAAAAATTCTAAATTTATAGGATTTTAATAGAAATTAAACATACTACACTAAAAATAATTTCAATATTTATTTTAATAGATTTGTGTAAATACATCTTTGTTACATTTTATTTAGCCTGCTTTCCCGAAACATAAATTTTGCAGTCAAAATTTTGACCAAAAAGTTAGACAACTTACATTTCAACCAAAGCTATGGGCCTAATGTTATCATAAGTTTTAATAATTTTTAACAACGAGTAGAACTTTTTAAGCACACCAGCTCCATTTTTACTGTAATACTTAACGCTGAATTCATTTAAAATGCATTTTAAATATACTGTTTTTTTTAACAGAAACACAATGAACGGTAACATACTTCCTATTTGCTTTCTTAGGAAATTTAAATTTAAATATTTCACAAGTTTATGATCCTACTAAGACTGGGGGTACTTTGATACATCATTAAAAAAAAGTAATTTAACATATTAATCATCATGCTGATATAAAAACTTTCTTTCTTTCTGATACTTTGAAACAGTGACATAAACTCTTACATAAAATGATAAACTTCATTTTTACATTTTAAAAGCTACTTTTTTTTAAAATTTTGCAACTAAGGTCGGCAAGCTTATGGCAGTTCACAGTATTATCCAGAGTTTTGATGTCAAAAATCCTTTTAGACATAGTTTCTGACAAGTGTCAAAAATCCACAATTTTGAGTAAAAAAAAATTTGCTATTTTAAATATGAAGTAATTATAATAAAAGTTCGTATAAAAATACAAGTGATCTATTATGTTCAGTTGATAATCAATTATGTTCTTAAATCATTTTGCAATCATTTAATCAACACAACATTAATCAACACAACAGGAGATACAATTTTAACTTAGTTTCTGGATGACTTAGAAACATCCATATATTTGCATTGCACATAAAAATATAAAAACATTTTAATTGTTTTCAAAAATTAATTTACCAACTAGAAAAAAAGCTAAATACAATTTTGAAAGCCCTTTTGTCATAAAAAGTTTATATTAAAATAAACTAAATATGTGCTTCAATATGAATTAAGTCACATACTATGAGGTTACGTACTAAATGAAGATTAAAAGGAAATATAAATATGATTATAATAAGTACAATTGACTTTATTTACTGTTAAATTGTCAAAAATGGTTGTCAAGTAACCATTGTGCTATCTATCAAAAACATTAAAAAAAAGTTTATTTATATACATCACTAAACATCAGAGATAATACTTTTAAAATAAAATTCGAAATATTAAACATAACACTTCTTTCTTATAACCTTAATAAATATGTCAGTAGAAAAACATTGATTAGTAATTTAGCTGGATAATAGATGATACGAATTGAAACTTCTGTATCAGAATAATCAGTCAGGCATGCATTTAAAATAAAAGAAGCCTATTTTAATTTGAATAATAAGAAGGGAAATTAAAGAGGAAAAATGTTGATATAGCTGTTGTTTATAAAATGATTTACATATCTTTTTAAAGCGAAACTACTCACAGGAAAGGCTCGAATACGCATTTTTGTATCTTTTTTCCCTTGTTTTAGGCTCATTATGAATCATACAATTCTTCTTAGTTTAATTTGATCATAGGGATTTGAATATAATATTAATTATCAGCTTCTAAAACTTAAATATCAAAACAACATGATCAAACTTCTCGAGATAGAACTTTAGATTCAATCTATTGCCAGATAACAGAAATTAATAGATGAAAATATAATATAAATATAGTAATATATGAACTTCCACTTTCAGTTTAAAACAGGTCGGAATAGCTTACTTTTAGGGAGCGTTTTCACTTATCGCGCATATCCGATCGTCGTCGAGCAAATTGGTGAGATTTTCCAGAGAGAACACATTTCACCAATAAGATGACCAGACGTCCTCAAATCCCTGGGAGATAGTCCTCAAAAACTTTCAAATTAAATTTCAACATTGTGTCTTCAAATGTACTCGACAACTCTATAGTGCGACATAAATAATGTACAACTTATATTCCATAATACCCAGAAAGCATGTAACCTTACGACAACCTTGTGTTTTAACTTTATTTTCATTGTCACGAAAAGGTTTGCCGTAAAAACCTTTTTTCAATGACGTAAAAATATATTGCAATTTCCAACCTTTCCTCCTTAAAGAAACACTAAATGATTTTTAAATCTTTTTTAAAAATATTGTTATGTAGGTTAAAAAACAAGTAAATTGTAAACCTTATTTTTTGCATTTTTGTTTGCTGTCATGATTAGGTTAGCAGAAATATTAAGCGAAAACCTTTTTCAAAGGAAACGAAATGACGCAAATATTAACCTTTTCAGCGAAAATATTAATAAATAATAAGAAAATATTTTGCGAAGGTCCTCATTTAAAGGAAAGCAAATAAACGAGCATAAGACCATGATTTTGGTTTTATTAAGGTCTGCGAAAGTACAATACGAAAACTTTCTTTTAAACGTTTCTCGACACAAGTATAAGTAATAGTTCTTTTTTAGAAACTTTTCATTCGAACAATCTCATTAAAATAATAAATAAAATTTGAATTTGGAGTTTAAAATTGACTCTTCAATATTTTTCTACATATTTTTTTTTCTTCTCGAATTTGGCGGTTGGGATCCTATGCGTTGCTGTTCCTTTAGAATGTGTGGCCTTCTCTCGTTCATTTTACATTATTGCAAAACTAATTATGTACAGAAAAAATTCGCCCAACAGTCTATTGTGACCTAAAGGGTCATCGATATTAAGACTCCACGATTTATGACGAAAGAGGAGTGATGGTGAAAATAAAATCAGCATTGTGCACCTACCGCCTTTATTTCCCTGACAAGCTGGTACCCTCTCTAAAGCTGGGTGGATTCAAAATCTAGACCCACAGTTTTTTCATCATATCTTTGGAGTGAATTTAAGAACATTTTGTTTACAGAACTCGATGTATAGTGTGCAAAATAAAAGACAGACCACCCTGATAGATTTTGATCTAATGACTGACTTTTCACGTTTTATAACTCAATCTTAATTTTTCGAAGGGGTGATCTCTAATATGCTAATTAATTAGTGCAGGCGATTATTTAAGTTACGAAATTAAACACAAAAATGTGTTTTCTCTGAATAAACATACCTTTTTCCCGACGGATTCAGATTTTGAGCCCCCAAAATATAGGGGGTAGCCACAATCTGGGGAATATTGTCCCGATAGTTTGATCATTAGGGTGATCCAAAGTTTGGATGCCTCTATCTTAATTTTATATTTTGCATATTTCGCCATACATAGAGACCTTTTATAGCGAGTTAAAAAAAAAAAATTTGNTCCCGATAGTTTGATCATTAGGGTGATCCAAAGTTTGGATGCCTCTATCTTAATTTTATATTTTGCATATTTCGCCATACATAGAGACCTTTTATAGCGAGTTAAAAAAAAAAATTTGAACATAATTTTAAAATTTGTTTATCCAAAGATAATTACATGCGGAAAATAAACTTTAGTAGATATTTATTATTTTTTATCACGCTATTAAATAATAGCTGGAAAATTTTTGAATTATAAGGCATACAACTTTTTATAAAATTTTTATGTGCGTAATTTTACATGGCAAAATACAAAATCGAGCTAAATCTGTCGAATTGTTCCTGTGTATATTTAAAATTCGATTTCTCAGAAACTATTCAAAAGATTATGCTCAAATTTTGCATTTTGTCATGTGAAATTACATATTTTAAAAGGATGTAAAAATTTTATACCTCTCAATTTAAATTTCGTCACTGCTGTAAAATATTTTCTCGAAAAAGTTCATAAGTAAGCAGGTATGTAAATGTTCAACCATTCCTGAAATTCGGCAGCAGTTTTTTCGTGTCACGAATTTATTCTATACATTATCGGCAAAACACTGTTGAAAATAAAAATTTAAAATAAAAAAAAATGTAAAATAAACTAATAAAGAGAAAAACAAGTTTTTCTAAAGGGGGGGGGGAGGCTAAAAGTCTGTTTAATTAAATTTTAATTAAGTCGTTCCAAAAATCAGAAGATAGTATTTTAAATCTGTTCTCTTTCTTTTAACGTCTTATTTGAATTATCAAACAAATATACGTCTAAAATACATAAAATTAAAATGGAAAAGCAATAAATAAAATTTTAAACGAAGTTCTTTTAAAAACTAGAAAAACTTCTATTAGCCTTATTGTACCAAAACTTTGAGGCAATGCTTAATGTTCAAACTTCAATATTCTTATTCAATTAAAAATAATAATAATAAAAAAAAATAATAATCTCACTAAATTTAACTTTTGAAAATTATTGTAAACCCCTGCTTCTCCTCCCTCTCAAAATACTGTCTTAAAAACTGCTGCTTACGTCAAGCGCAACTTTGCACTAATATTACGGCTGAAGATCATTTACACTTTCGGAGTTTACTTGCTCGATTTAAGTTTGAATAGAATTGAGTTTGAAATAGATTGATGAATTATTTCTTAATGATATTCTGTTTCATTGTTCCAAGTTTAAGATAGTTATCCCTTTTGATATAAAAAATAGGTACATAGTCTAATTGCATTTCATTCGCCTTATTGAGTATTGAGTATAGTAAAGTGCGGCGCGCTCTCTGCTTTCGCTTATAGCACTGCGTTTCAATAGGTAAGGTTTAATTTAGCCTAACAAGATTTATTTCAGCTCAGAGGCTCTTCTTCAAATTCCTTTCAAGTCTTCTGCTTTTTGAATCAAATTAAGAGGAAAAAATGCGTGAGCAGCACCGAACTCCAGACCATCGGGTCGACAAACTTCTTTACCCGTGGCGCTAACGACCACACCAATTACCATTAAAGAGAGTTACGGAGTGAGTCGTGTGCGTAGCTCCGGAGACGAAATTTATCCGTTTTTTAGCTTACATTCCCTCTTTCCCAAAGAAAAATAATAATTTTTATATATGTAACACTTTCTTCACGTTGAAACAAAAATAAATTTTAAAAATAAAATAAAGTAAATTAAAAAAAAATTAAAAATTAATCCGTGACCAGGACCGAACCCCTGACCTCCAAGTCTACAAACTTCTTGACCCATGGCACTAACAACCGCACCACGAATCACACGTTGCTTCCTCGAATATATAGCTTAAAGAACTCCCTTCCGGTTAATTAACAAAATCTATTTTGGCCCATTATGTGCCCCCTAAATAGTGAATAAAAATTCCCTTTGGCACGATTGTTTA